CGCCGGCTATGGTTACTATTGAATGTTACTAAATGTTATTCCACATGTTTGGCACAGGTTAGTTGCTAATCTAGAGATGAATAGCTATAATTAACTTGGTTACCGAATTATAAAATGTATAGCTCAACTAGTGGCTTTTATGCAAAATTTTGTCAAGTTAACTCCACCTATAAAGCCTTGCATGATCCTTGGAGTCATTTTATTTCTGGTTTATGACGGGTAAATCTAGCTAAGTATATTCGAGTACTCAGGGTTTATCCCACCATATTGCAGGTGAAGTTCTCGGCCTGTTCAAGGTGGTGGCTAACCGCCAGTGGGCTCAGTGACTCTATATTCATTTCTCATCTATATGCTTTTATCAGAGGATGTCACTTATGCTAGCAATGTATTTGGAACGTATATTAATGTAATCATTTGAAAGCTATGTTGTTTTTCATTAACCGGTTTTGAAACCCAAACTTGTACTATTATTTGTAAACCCATTTATAATATTATTTCCGTTGCAACTCTGTGTATGTGATGTGTATTTGCTTAATCATGCGATCTTGGTTGTGATGTTGATTTACCAAGGTCCTTCGTGACACTCGGCGGACTACCAGGTTTATATAAGTGAAAGTATGTGCGCATCAACGTGCTAAATGGGGACAACCATACTTGATCTTGTATAAATTGGGCGGTTCTGTCACAATACCAGTCTCTAGACGGTAGATCCGGAATTTTGAGCAATAGCCCACACTCTACTTGAACCTTGCTAGCTAGCCTACACTAGAACTTGAAGAATTGGAGCTGTATTCTCTTCTCTGGAAACCCTAATTTCTGGTCTGATCTTGACTTATGATAGCGTGCTCTGGAGGGGGGTCAGGGGCTAGTTATATAGGCCGAAACATCAATCCTGAGCCCTTGGATCAAACCGACTTGAAAGAATGGCGAGATGCAATCTTGGAGGTGGCTTGAGGAACCAACATCGAAATAGAGGATGACATGTGGGCCCAGGGGGCTGAGCAGCCTGCAGGTGGGGCCAGCCTCCTGCCATCTGCTCATTGGCATGGCTTTCGGTGTCCTCTGGAACCTTCTGGAGCAGTTTCAGCGGTGGATAAGTGTGATTTAATTTGTCGTTTTGATCCTCCTTGCCTAGTTTTCTGGAATAACCTCTCTGAAAGCATAGATTCACCAAAACTCGTGGAAATTATCAGTTTAAACCCCAAAGTCTATGTTGGTGATCCTTTTCATGCATTTATTCATGTTATGTTGATGGTTTATGATGGATGATAACTACCATCAACACTCATCTTATGTTGGTTGTGCGGCACCCGGTTGTGGGTTAGGCGTATGATGCCTATTAGCGCATGAACCTCCAAGTGAGTGAATCGCCACAACGGGGACTAGCTTACCGGCAAGCAAGTGAACCTCAGATGAAAAATTGATTGTGTCATCATTGTCTCCTTGGTATTCTTTTGTATTCATTAATTGATCACTTGCCACGAAGGTATATCACCTCTACCTCTCTTGCATTACTTTCTGTATTTACCTTGTGCAGTGCTTGTGGTAATTGTATCTAGTGTAGCTCTTTAGTTGTAGTTCTCTTGCTAGCTTGATCACCTAAGTGTAAATTAGTGACATAGCTCTTTTGCGATATACTAGAGATCATAGAGATTAGAATTGGGTATGTAGCTTGCAACACAAGTGTAGTGCTAGCGCAAAATTTGCTTCGCCATCTTATCTACTAATCACTTGTCTTAGTGTTGTTGTAGAATTTTTAATAGGCCATTCACCCCCCCTCTAGCCATTAGGACCTTTCACCGGTCAATGTCCCAGACATTCCTGATCGACGCCACCCCCTTGCCAGTTTCATGGATAAACTGGTCGCAATTAGTTACTTGGCTTGTCAACCCCATCCACGACATGTGGTCTATACGAGTGGTTACTCAGACTCACGTATCCCAATAAACAGTCCTTAGCTGCTCCACGAGCTATGTCGTTTGAGATCCCACCCACACTCACAATGACCTATCCCTCACATGAGCAAAGTTACCATAGTGGTATTCAAGTTTATGACCTTTGGTGTTATTGTGCCTTAGCTAGATTAGTGAAATAAGTCCAGTTGTACCCTCATTGCTTTTAGTGATTAATTATCCCACTGTAGCATTCTACACGCGTAAGAATGAGTTCTCTTCTCATACTCGACTTCTACCGTTGCTAGGTAACTAAGCAATAAGCAATTAAGCGTTTCCATTCCCATTGTTTAGGTGAGAGGCTCCTACTAGATTAATGAGTGACTCTTAGTGTAGAGTGAACAAGATTAATAACCCAAACTTTATGTAACGCATAACTCATAATGAAACTAGATAAGTATCCAAAATAGGTTTTATAGTAGTGGGGTGCCTGCCTGATCTTGCCGATGACTCCAAGATTGTAGACAACAACTCACACGCATTCCTTACGCTACTCGGGTCCTGAAAGAGAATAATGGTCGAGGTTGAAGGTAACCGAGGGAGGCTTAGGAACAAGACTCGGCTTGGGACTTAGGGTAGAGGCTTCTACCTATGGCTCTCCTGTTGCCTTACTTGTAACTATGCTTAGTCTAGTATAGTTGACCTCTGGGTAAGTTCACTTGGTAACTTCATCCTTACTGTTAACTTGACGGACATTCTGACCTAGGTGGCAGACACTCCGTCCGGTTAGGGTTTTGAGGTGACTTGGCTCTGGTTGGACTCTGCTTGGGTTGACGGATACTCCGTTGGAAGTGACAGACACTCCGATAGGAACTAGGTGGTCTCAGGTTGCTGGGTTACTGTCCACTATAAATCATCGGATGCTCTGCCATAAGTCGTTATAATTCAATGGACACTCCATGCGATATCATGGACACTCTGGTAGTCCATGTCAACAGGAGATAAGGTTCTGATGGCTAGTTTTCCTGGGTTGTCGGGCACTCCGTTGATTCAACGGACACTCCATGAAGCTGTCGATAGAACCTAAGCTCTTAGGTGATCTTGGGTTCCAAACTTAGATGTGCCCAGCTGTGATCTATGCATGTGTAAGATATTTTTAGGATGGCTTAGGTGACTCACTAGGCTCAAGGTAGCTAGGTTTTAAGCTCGTTTTACTAAGTGTGTCTATAGGCTAGGATCATACTTAGAGATACAAGAACTTGAGAATGAACCATGAGATGAAGATAATAACCTTAGCTCTGAGATTTGAGAGCTTCCATAGCGAAAAGATTGAAGATCCAAACCTTCTCTACTCTTGCTTCTTATCAATGAATTGGCTTGGCTCCATATGAACTCTCTCTTGCCACATACCAAAAAGATGGTTCAAAGGATCCATGAACTCATTGGATGATTGAACTAGGTAAGAACTTCTTGAGCTTACTTACTCATGTTGTAACTACCACCAGCAAGGAGTCTTCCATCTTGCATCAACATCCATGGATTAGATCATTGGGTGAAGAATCCAAGAAAAGAGGATGGTTCTTCTTGAGCTCACCATGAAGAGGTTGAGGGTTGAACGGTGTCCATGGACTGCTGCTGGTGCTTCCCTTCTTCCTCTCCTCTATCTTCTTCAATCCTTCCTCCAATCTCTCCCCTCTCTAGCCTCTAGGGTTCTTGCTTGTTCTTGAGTGAGTTAGAGAGAGAGAGAGTGAATGTTGCAAATGAGAGGATGAGTGAGAGAGAGTGGCTTCAGCCGAGAAATATCTCTTCCCACTCGTGCTGACATGTGGGTCCCACCAATTTAAGTGGCAAACAAATCATTTCCCACTTACTGCTGCAGCACTGCGATCTGTCGGATGGTCCGTGGTATTGTCGGACGGTCCGACAATCTCTGTCTTTGCTGAATTGCATGGTCTCTGTCTCTGTCCTCCATTGCTCTGGGTGTGAGCCTGACCATGGTTATCCGAGGTTCGCATAGGGTGCTTGATGTCTTATCTCACATATTTCATTAGAAATCTTCGGAGTGACTTGGTAGGTGATTTTCCTTTGATAATCAAAATGACTGCCGAGTGTGTGACGGGTTTCGGGTCGTTACAAAATCTAAATCTCACTACGACACACCATGACGTGCCCACAAATGCTCCATCAAATCATCACGAAGTTGCTCATGAATTGTTCCGTCTTCAATCTTATTATGTATACGCAAGAAGTCACTCAAACCCATCTATAAGTGGCCATAGTTTCACATAGGAAATTATTTAGACAGCTTGCAGGTTAGGTACATATGAAATTTTATTCAGGCAACTTCGTACCTTGTGCTCAGGCGGCAGGGAGAAGGCGTTCGTTGGTGCCCGTCTGCCGGTGGGAGCTGCGGCCGTGCGTCGGTGGGAGCTGGGTCGTCGCCGGTGAAAGCTGGAGCCGACGCAGATCGGGACAGCGGAGGGGCTAGCGCCGGAGGGGCTGCCGTTCGCTCCGGAGGGAGCAAGGGCGCGGAGGGAGGCTCCCGGCTTGGAGGAAGACAACCGGCGCGGCCTTCTTCTTCATGAAGACGACCGGGGAGGCGGCCCTCTAGATCCGGCGGAGGAGGGCACGGGCTGAGTCGGAGGAAGGGTGGCACCGGTGGATGGGCACAGTGGCGACCCTGCTCTGGCGGCGCGGGGGAAAGAGTCGAGCGAGCTCGCGCGGGTAGGGGAAACGACCGACCAAATTTTTAGACAGATGTAGGTAGTGGGAGCGAAAATTTGTTGGGCCAATAAATTTAGATAACCTGATAGGTAGCCTGCTAGAGTGCATTATTTTACTTCCACTACCTAAATATAGGATATGTAGTCTGTTTAGGTAGCCTGCTGGAGATGCTCTTAGGAAAATTGATTGCACATAATAGAGGAAATTAGTAGAACTCATTCTAAGGTGCAAATAGATTGGACTAGTTTGTTATTATATATAAGTAGTAGTAGGTAGTAGAGGTTTTTGCCGGCCTGTAGAATACACTGCCCGCAGTGCTGCATAAAGCCATAAGCCACAACCGTGCACCCTCGCAGAAGCTTGCCATAGAAAAGTTGTCCAAGCATGTCATGTTTACGCATCCTTCTCCTGGGACCGCTGTTCCTCTGCTCGGGAATCTCCGGCTCATTGGCGTCATCAGCTGGATGCAGCTGCGGTGACAGCTCGACCCACGATTTCTCCTCCTTCAGCAGTGGCTCTGCTGATGAGTTGGTACTCCTCAAGGACGCCGAGATCAGTAATGGCGTCCTCCATCTCACTGCAGACGACTCGAGGAATCGCAACAGGTCCGGTGCCGCGCTCCTGCCAGCTCCGGTCATGCTCTGGTGCCAAGACCCCGAGGACGTGAAGCAAAACGCATCCTTTAAAGCCTCCTTCACCATGGGCATCATGGAAAGGAGAGGAGATGGCGGCCTCGCGTTCGTCTTGGTTCCCTCCCTCAACAGCCCCCCACTTGACATCCTGGGCCTCAGCAACAACCCTTCTTCCATGGCTACCTCTTCCTCCACTAGCAGCGGCTTCGTCACCTTCACGTTCGACACGGTGAAGCAGTCCTATGACCCTGACGGCAACCGCTCCATCATCAGCATCAACGCTGGTGTCTCCGTCTCCGACGACGTTGTTGCGCGTTCGTCTCTGAATATCACCGTCCCAACTAATCTGCAGGCCGCTACAAAAAACTTCACCGTGTGGATCGAGTATAACAATGGTGCCGGACGACATGACCGTGCCGTATCAATATATATGAATGTCCAAGGGCAAGCGAAACCGGACAAAGCCGCCATTGATGTGGCCCTCAACCTTAGTGACCACCTCCCGCAGAGAGCCTTTGTTGGTTTATTGGCTTGGACAGACGTGAGCTCCGAGCTCCAATCCGTCCTGAGCTGGAACCTGAAAGTTACTCTCCCTGGCGACGGCACAAGCATAGATTGGAGGGTGATACTACCGGCAGTTTTGGGTGGGATTGCCTTCACTGGAATCATGAATCTTTTCGTTGCCGTCTTCTACTTCAACTCCAAGTACAATAAGCTCAAGATGGAGCTGGTCCTGTCGGAGACTCTGCGGCGGCTGCCCGGCATGCCGAGGGAGTTCAAGCACGCCACGATGAGAAAGGCCACCGACAACTTCCACGAGGCGAGGAAGCTGGGCAAAGGCGGGTTCGGAGCTGTGTACAAGGGCACACTGCGATCTGCAGGGAAGGACGGCATGGCAGCATGCGTGGACGTCGCGGTGAAGAAGTTCACCCGGAACGAGAACCGGTGCTACGACGACTTCCTCGCCGAGGTCGACATCATCAACCGACTCCGTCATCGGAACATCGTCCCGCTAGTTGGTATGTTCTTCATTCAACGATGACAGAGTTTCAAATTTCTTGTCATGCATGTGTGCTGTGTGTCAGTCATTCAGTCAAAGTCCTTCATCTGGTGACATGCATGCATGAAGGAAAAAAGACTCACCATTGATGAGTACAGCTAATAGTGGGTAGATAGAGTCTGCAGGCACTACTGTCTTACATGCATAGAGACAGAAGTCACTTTTCACATTATCTTCAGTTATAAACTGCGAGAGAAAACCGAGCATTTTTTACGTATGGAGGAGAATTGGAGGTTTTACTGGTTCCTAACGAGGTCGCTGTCATCGCCAACCTGTTCTCCCTCTAAATAGAACGAGACAGGTTTTCGTCGCAACAAATTAAACGGGTCGAATAGTCGCATGAGTGGGACAGAAATAATAGGCCTACCAATGCTGACTTTTAATTCCTTGGTATCGAGGATACATAAAATTATCTAAAGTTTAAAATGTTGTGACATGCATGCATGGACCATGGAGAAATCACATTGCACTAGGAAATTATCTAATTGGGTAGCCCATGGAATTGCCTGTGATTAGCATAAAGATTAATCTAATTAAGTATATGCATGCACTGTGTTATCATGATTTTTATCGTAAATATATATTGCTTGATTATCGCTCCGTTACTGTTATGCATTCTACTTAAACGGACATTCATATCTAGGTCTACTCAATAATGAAAGTCCCATTTGTTTGGGTTCTACTGTAGTTACTTTGCTCTATTTTATATACATATCACACTCCATATGCTTCTGTTCCTACTTCCTCAACATCCCATCTACTATGTGGTTGCATTTTCCAATCCAATCTCCTTCCTAGTGTTACAACCTTGAGCAAGATGTTTCAAGCCTTGTACAACTTTGATCGTGTGAGTTGTTTGATATAAATAAAATCAATCACTTTGTGAAGTAGCGACATTTAGAATGGATTGTTTTTTTAAGGTTCCAACTGCTTGCCAAGTTCTATTGACACTTGTATTGACTGACTTATTGCCAAACTCAAGTCGTTGTCTCGGTCATATGGAATATAAATACAACTTTAGAACACAAGTTTCACTTTGCTACTTGAAGCTGAACTTATGGACTTCTTTGTTAGCATCACAATTCATATCAGAAGGTTTGACGACTATCTAGGATGACCAAGCCTAACATAGAAAAAAATATGACAAGAAATAGTACCAAGGTACATGCATGTACGATATACTTTGATTGATTTTTTTTTTTTGAACCTGGGTGTGCTCAATTCACATTTGCTGACAAATCGTCAGCCACAATTACAAGAATATTCTCCGGGACGTCGTCGCACGTAATGTGCTCCTCACCCTCAACACAACACAAACCAAGAACGGCCAGCTCATGAGCGGCTCGATTACAATTGCGCGAATTAAAAACACACTGAAAGCTTAACAAGTTTGAATCCACTAGTGACTTCACCTCTTCTAACAGCCCAGCTAGCTGAAGCGGAGTGAGAAAATTGGTCTGGCACAATTGCTTGTTGCACCATGGACGCATCTGTCGCCAGGATAAGTCAGCGAACACCAGCATTAGCCACTTGCAGGCCGTGGAGACATGCGATCAATTCAGCTTGAAAGGCACTCAACAGATGGTTCACCCGTCCCGATCCAGCAAGAACAACGTCGCCGTCGCTATCTCTGACGATGAAGCCCCAGCTCCCGCTCATGTTCCTTGATTGGAAGGCTGCGTCACAGTTTAATTTCAGGACTCCTTCTGGCGGCTTGGACCAGTACTCCCTTCTCCTCTCATTGGTCCGGGGAATATGACGCAGTAGCTGATGGAATTCATTTGTGTAAATTTTGATGGCCTTAACCAGCGCCTCCGGACGACTCCTCCTTCCCTCCTCTCTGATTTGGTTCCGCTCAGCCCAGATGAACCAGATGGCAGTAATCGCCAAAAGCCGAATGTCTTCCTTTTGACTCAGGATGATCTCAATGGCTTCCTTGGCGTCTGTAGCTCCCGCCAATTTTTCCTGTACCCGATCAAGCCTGAGACCACTCCATATCTGCCTGGTAGCATGCACTTTGAGAATAGATGAGCACCGTCTTCGCTGAAGCGCTCACAAAGTCACACACCGGGCATTTGGTGTCCAACTTCATACCTCTCCACGCAAGATTGGACCGAAGAGGATGACTATTGTGAGTGAATCTCCATAGAAAATGTTTAACCTTGTTTGGGCATCGCAGCTTCCAAATTCTATCCCACACTGCTCCCTCCCTGATCACCACCTCTTGTTGAGCTGCGCAGAAACTCAGCGCAACAGATTTTATACGCACTTCTAACACTGAAAAGGCCATGCTCATCAAAGTGCCAGGCGAGCAAATTATCACGCTCCTCATGGATCGGCAGTGCTAATATAAGATTTGCATCCTCCTCCCAAAAGATTCCATTAACCAATTCAACATCCCAGCCCCCCGTTTTAGGATTCATCAACTCATCTACATCAGTTAGAATGCAACCTCTTCTAGGAGTAATTGGCCTCCAGGAGTCACCCCTTGGTAGCCATGGGTCACTCCAAATTTTCAGATTTCGACCATTACCAACCCTCCAAATGATACCCCTTTTCATCAATTCAATTCCTCGCAGGACACTTCTCCAAGTGTAAGACATCCCTCCATTTGGCCCAGCCTGCAGCACAGATGTATTGGGGAAATACTTAGCCTTGAGAATTCTTGCATATAACGAATCAGGATTTTGCCACAGTCTCCAGCCCTGTTTAGCCAACATTGCCCAATTAAATGCATAAATATCTCTGAAACCCAACCCGCCCTCGTTCTTGGATTTCATCATCTGATCCTTGCTGAGCCAGTGTATCTTGCGCTTACCCTCCTGTTGGTTCCACCAGAAGCGGCAAACCATACTGCTAATCTCATCACAAAGAGACTTAGTTATATCAAAACATCCCATCGCAAAGGTGGGAATGGCCTGTGCCACAGCCTTGATCAAAATCTCCTTTCCTACCAAAGATAAAAATTTCTCCTTCCATCCCTGGATGCGATTCCAGATTCTATCCTTCAAGTAGGCAAACGTGTTTCCTCTTGATCGACCAACATGCACGGGAAGGCCTAAATATTTCTCACTCATGGTCTCCCTATTCACTTGCAACGTGGTACAAACCTCCAGTTTTTGTGGCGGCTTTGTGTTCTTGCTGAAAAGCACTGCTGACTTTGCCTTGTTAATCATCTGCCCCGAACAACTTTCATACAAATCCAGGATTTCCTGTAGATGATGAGCATCCCCTTCATTTGCACGAATTAAATTTAGAGAGTCATCGGCAAATAGAAGGTGGGATACACTAGGTGCTGCATGACAAATTTTCACTCCAGCAATCTGTCCAACTTGCTCAGCCTGCTGTAATAATGCCGAAAAGCCTTCTGCGCATAATAAAAACAAGTAGGGTGACAAAGGGTCCCCCTGCCTTAAACCTCTCTCCGGTTTGAATTTTTCAGTGAGGTCCCCATTAACCTTAATACAATATGAGACTGATGTAACACACTCCATTATCAGTCTGATCCACTCTTCTGCAAACCCCAATCTCCTCATCATTGCTTCCAAAAAATTCCATTCAACATGGTCATAAGCCTTACTCATGTCAAGCTTCAAAGCAGCATAGCCCAATTCCCCTTCTCTTTTGTTTAACAGATGGTGCGTCAATTCATAAGCAATCAGCATATTGTCCGATATCAATCTTCCAGGGACAAAAGCACTCTATGAGGGGGTGATTATCTCATCTAGCACCCCCTTAGCCTTCCCGACAAAACCTTCGAAACCACCTTGTAGACCACATTACAGAGGCTGATGGGCCGTAGATCAGTAACTAACTCCGGTTTCTCAATCTTTGGGATCAAGGCGATCACAGTATCATTCCACCCATCGGGGATTTCTCCCCCATTTAGCACTTGTAACACCTCTGAAGTCATCTTCCCTCCCACGATATCCCAGCAAATTTTGAAAAAGACTGAAGGCATACCATCCGGGCCCGGCGCCTTCAAGTCACCGATTGAATCAAGCGCATTTTTATCTCCTCTTCCGTAAACTCCTTCATCAAAAAATCATTCATTTCAGCAGAGATACGGGGCTGTACAGCAGCAAGGAGCTGCTGCATCAGCCCCTCCTCTACCACACCGCTAGACCTGAAAAGCTGTTTGAAGTGGTTAGCGATAAAATTCTTTTTTTCTCCTTCCTCCTCCACCCAACACCCATCCTCCTTCAATAGCCGACCAATTCTATTTCTTCTCTTCTTCTCCGAACAAACCTTATGGAAATAGCTGGTATTTCTATCACCAAAATGGAGCCAGTTAACATGTGCCCTTTGTTTCCAATATGTATCAATTTGCTCCTCCAGGAGATCAACTTTGAAACTCCACACAGCCTCACAGCCGACCGAAGTGTCATTTATAGGGGCTCTACGCCACCTTTCCATCTCCTTCTTCGCCTTCTTCAAGCATTTCTCCAAATCCCTCAACACATTAACACTCCACTCCTTCAAGCCCACCACTACACCTTTTAGATGATCACTAAAACTATCTCCAGCGCCACTAGAATTCCACCCAGCTTCAAAAACATTTTTGCACTCCTCCTCCTGTAACCATCGGCCTCAAATTTGAAGGAGCTCCGTGGGTCCTCTAACCCCCCACGGCGGCGTACTTTCCGTAACAATGATCACTGGTCTATGATCTGAATGGTACAGGTCTCCATTTCTCACGTGAACCAAAGGGAAACGGTGTAGCCACTCAAAATTTGCAACAACTCTATCCAACCGTTCTCTTATGTGAGTGTTCCCCTTTGTTTGTTTATTCCTCCAGGTGAAGGCATCCCCTCAAACCCTAGATCATGGAGATCACCCAACTCTAGTGCTCGTTTAAAGCGATCCATGCATGATTGTGCCTGTTGAATACCCCCCTCTTTCTCATACTGGAACAAAATTCCGTTGATACTACTACACTCGGACCTTTCACAGCCACGTCGTAACCCCCATCGCAGCCGCATTTCTGCCTCGGCGGTAAGCTATCAACAGTGATGGTCATAGCCTTCACCGTCGGCATCTGGGACCGACTGCGGTGTACACTAACAC